GAGAATGGAGTGGCAGCGTGAATGTAGGGACAGTGAGAATGGAGTGGCAGCGTGAATGTAGGGACAGTGAGAATGGAGTGGCAGCGTGAATGTAGGGACAGTGAGAATGCAGGGGCAGTGAGAAATAGTGGCTGTCCCAAGAGGGGCAGCACTAGGGTGTTGGGGTGCAGCTCAGGTGCTGCACAGAATATGATGCAGCTGATGAAGATCCTAATGATGTTGACAAGTATACTTCTTGCAGTGGTAAACACATTAAATAATTTCTATTGTACATCTCTGCTCTAAGGTCAAAGTGTCACTCACTCTGCCGTGCCACGGCTCCGGTTTCTGTGTGGGTAGATATATATATATGCATGAGTTATACATATAGCTGTGTGTATGTTTATGAGTGATCCCGGTGGGGACTGAGATGGCAGCTGGGGAATACCACAGGAGGAGGGGCAGGGAAAATGAAATGTGTGTCGTCTTGGATTTGACAGACTTCCATCTCCATGGGAACAGCAGATGCCCAGAGTCAGTGCCAGTGGCTGGAAAAAGGGCTGGGCTGGTGTCTGACTGAATACATTTTGTTTTGACACGCAAGATAAATCTGCAGAACATAAGACACACACAATTAATTGTGAACAGGTATCATCGTACAATACTGTGGGACTGCGGAGAACGTCTTGCCTATGTATGCGTTAAAACAAGTATGCACAAATATACTAAAAAAAATGAATCAAAACTTGTTCTGCATCATATATTTGTATATACAAAACTGATGCTATTGAGCACACTGATATCTCACGATACAGTTCTTATTTTTCTGACATAATCTAGATAGGTAGAGGCCCACTTATTAAAATGAACATAGCTCACAGTCCATAAACGCAGTTTTTATAAAAAATGAACTCCAGTGGGAACTAGAGCCATTCTACTGCAACAGTGCTTTCTTGCAGTGGCAAACCTGCCATGCAGTGTGATTCCACAAGAGGATTTTCTGTAGGAGTTCAGTTTGTTGACATTAATGAGACAAAAGCAGACATGTACTGCGCCGCTGGGACACTTATTCAAGAGCAGGAGGCAAGATGGAAATCAAAGCACTTGAAAGAAGGCTTTGCTTTAAAGTGAGACACAACACACATGATCATATTTACATATATGTATGGAGCTGCAGAGACTGAGGCTTGTTGGGGCATCAGTTTACACAGTTAAATGGGAGAGGTGAGCTATTAATAATTTTTAGAAACATGATTCTGGCCCAGCCCATGATGCCCCCTGACAAGCTCTCTAATTTTCTGGATCACATGACTAACACCTATTTAGTAACCCAACTGGAGAGCTGAGGAATGACAGTATTTGGAAGTGCAGCTGCATGTGGAGGCTCTTTAAAAGAAATGCTCAAGGATTTTCTTTTAATGGACAGTGTACGCCTACACATATGGGAGTGTTTGGATAGTTGTGACTTCTAAGTAAACACATTTCTGTATTCCTGCACATTAAAATAGACACACAAATATATATTCAAGAGTAGACATATAGTGCACTGTACGTATTAAATAGATATACACATCAATGTACATACATGCTTAGAAACATATTTGTACATTTGTGCCGTATAATATGTACCATATTATCATTGTGCATTCTGTCCGCGAATGGTTGTGCGTGCGGAAACTTGTGTTCATATTACATTTGGCCATGGACCCAGATAGTCCCGGTCAGTGCATGCATACAGCAGTGATATTATACCAGAGCTAGAGAGGGCAGATGTATTGCAACAAGCACAGATACAGCAGTGTAGTGAAACGGGTAAACTGTATAGGCTTCGGAGGTATTAAGGTAATACAGCATAATCCGGCATTTTCAAATCTGAAATTCTTACGATAAAATTAGCTGGTACCTACCCCAATAAATTTCATCGCCAAGATTTCAAAATTCCGGAATAGTGTTGCTTTTGAAAATAACATATACCCCAGTGAATGTCAGGAAAGTATAAATTATCTGGACAATAGAAATTATACATGCGCACATCTCTTTCAACAATTCTTCCGCTTCTACACTTCCTTGGTTGACCTCTGCTCTGTGAAAGTCTGTGCTGCCACCTACTGGAAATAATTTCCTAGTCAATTTCCATGCACATGCGCAGTCGATGCACAGCGATGCATAATATCTCTGCCGGACAATAAAAATTCTGAGCTGCACATGCACCATCCGTAGCCACCTGGCGCAAACCCTTGATAACGAAATTTGCATCTCTCATCCTATATGCTGCCTGAAAACACACATGGAAAAGTGAATTATGAATTGACCTTAATACTACCATTATGTTTGTTCTTTTGTGGAAAGATATGAACTAATTTAGTAAATGTTGCAAAATAATCTGAAATGATGAAAATTAAATAATACAATGCAAGCGTTTAATTTTGTATGTCTCAGATCTCCAGGGCAGTGCTTGAGCCTGTTTCACCCTACTGTCTACTGCACAACATCTACTGCCCTTGTGGAACAACAGCACTGCTCACTGGCAGGAAATTGTCGTAGCTGTCCCCGCTTGCCGGACTGGCCTTCCCACTGCTGTGATCAGGGTGCACAGAATGTTCCTCACATCATTTCTGCTGATTAAACTTCAGGGTCTAGGCAGAAATGTGTTTCTTACGGAACCATAATACAGGCAGTGCTAAGAAAAGAAACCAAAAAATTGTACTCTTTGAGAATGTGTCTGAATAGTATTGACAGGCTCGTGCTGCTTAATTTGAATGCTGTTTACATTAACACAATCTCTGGCCCCCCATGCGGAGATGTAAATAAATGCACGCACCAGCTGCCAGCCTCCAGCACTGGGCCTTTTCAAACTGGTCTCCATTCAAAGCAGATTTTGTGAGAAATAATGTTTTGCCTGTTTTTCCCACTGTTGCTTTATACGATGGGTTACTTTGTAGCAACCCCCTAACCCCCCCCCCCCCCCCAAAAAAAAAAAAACAAGGAGACAGACTCACATTAACCAGGGCCTTAAAAAAAGGCTTCTGTTGAACAGTAAGGTCAGTGTGTGGAGTGTGTATGTGTGTCTGTGCAATTGAAAGAGGGACAGAGATCTTTTTTAGTTTGTTTCCTTGACAGTAAAAGACCTAAACTGGAACAATAACCATCTTTGGTTAACCATGTCTTTTACAGTCACAATATATACACAGAACTTTGACTTCCTGCCTCATCAGTGGTACCCAATGATACACTACAGGCAATTTAGAGATGTGGATCCATCTCACTGGATGGCAGTAGGGCACTGAAGTACCAAAAGGACATGAACTTGACACAAGAGAAAATGCAAACTCCACACACACAGAATGGGGGCAGGATTTGAACTAGCAGCCATGGAGTTCTGAGGTAACAGTTCTTCCCATTTAGCCACCCTGAAAGAGAGAAAAAAAAAGATCACCAAAAAAATAGTAAATCCATTTTACTTTACTGCTCTCATCTGTCAAAGTGTGATTTATGGTATTTAAAATTGAAAAACTCATTGCCTTAATGCAAGTCTGTCTCACATTCATTAATGTAAGTCTGTCTTAAGCTCAGCTTCAAATTTCTGATCTGATTGCAATCAACTTTACCATCATTTTTTCATAATTAATTGGAAAAAAACTTTCCACTTTAGGTTTCGCACAACCTAAAAACAAACCATATAACCTTAAGACGGAATATCAATCCGTCTTCAGCCCCCTCTCCCTCCGCACAGAATGCGCCTGTGTACGAGGAGAGTGCTGGGCCTCAGCCCAGTTGTTTTGTAGGAGCTTTATGTACCCTAAACTTGTTTGTCGCTTCCTTACACAAGTGCCAGTGTGACGAGAAAGCCGAACTCCCCTGTTAGCGCGGCGAGATGCTCCCGGGGCGAACACGCTGAGCACCAGAACACTGGCCTCTTGTTTCAGGCCCTTCCTCCCATTTTGTCCTCTCAAATTTGCTTCTCTGTGCCGCCCAAGGCCATGACAGTGCCTGTCTGCAAACGATAAACAGTACAGGAGGCCATTCAGAAACATACACACACACACACACACATGTAGGGTAAACATATCCTTATGGGGACCGCTCATTCATTTCAGTGGGAAAAATGCTAACGCTAACTATGACAACCTTAACCCCTACCCTGCCCTAACCATAACCATAAGTAACCTAACAAAATACAAGAGTTTTTGGATTTTTAGTTTTTTCATAGGAGTCACCGATTTTTATAAAATAGAGTTTTCCCTTATGGGGACCAGGAAACCGGTCCCCATAAAGGAAAAAAAACGGATATTTATCACGTTATGGGGACATTACACACACACACACACACACACCAAGGCTATATGACCAAAGCTGTCAAACCTTAAAACAACACAATGTGTTCCAGCTGGCCTTAATGACCTTGTGATTTTGCTTCTGCAATGACTTACATATATACGGTATTTCGGCACAGTGGTTGAGTGAGCAGCACTTCTGCCACACACTCCAGGGTTGTCCCTCGTGTGTGGAGTTTGCATCTTCTCCCCATGTGTGTGTGGAGTTTGCATCTTCTCCCCATGTGTGTGTGGAGTTTGCATCTTCTCCTCAAGTTGTGCAGCAATCCTCCAGGAACTCTGGTTTCCTCCTACTGTCCCAAGACAGAACTGATGTACAACTTTCCTAAATAGACAAAAAGGCTTCTGTTTTCAGATTCTATCTATCTATCTATCTATCTATCTATCTATCTATCTATCTATCTATCATCTAATGTATGTGACACACACATGCACACACACACACACATGTCCCCGCAATGTGATAAAAACCAGTAATTCTTTTCAATTCCCACAAAGGGAAACTCAATTTTCTAAAAATATGTGACTGCAATCAAAACACTAAAAATGTCAAAAGTCTTGTATTCTGTTTGGTCACTTATGGTTAAAGTTAGGACAGGGTAGGTTAAGGTTGTCATTTTTTGGATTAGGATTTTTCTTATGGAAATGAATGGACGGTCCCCTTATAAAGATTATAAAGATATGAATAAAAACATTTTTGTGTGTGTGAGTATGTGTATTAACCCCTTGCATTGTTTTATGTCAAATGTATATAGATTAGTATTACAGTCATTTTCAGAAATCCCTACACAATCGCTCAGGTTCCAAGTCATCTAATACAAACACACGCACATAGAAACTTAGACAAATGCAGCGTTACAGAGCCGCACCTTGAACACCCAGACACAGTCACAGAAATCCACAACCTCACAGAAGCTTAAAGTTACAGTAGGAAAGATCAGATCACCTGTGATTGAACACTTAAAAATATGTCTCTTAACAGTGAACTCACTCTCTGATTTTGGTGATGCTGATGCAGCTGCGTTCTTAAGGAGATATTTATGCTGGATCCTTTAACCAGCATCAAAGTAAAAGCAGGTGTCGTGCTGCACCCCCCACGCTCCGCTCCCCCCTCCTCTGCCTGGCAGCATCAGGGGAGGCTGTGGACTGGAACGCAGAGAGCAGGCGCAGTGTGTCTGTCAGCCTGCTGCCTGTGTTTTTTTTGTTTTTATTGGTTCGTCTGATAAGCAGCCTCCGTCTCAGATCCTTCATTACCTGCAGCTAGTTGCTCAGGACACAAGCTTCTCGATGCACTGAGTGACTGTACATCTTGGCGACTTCAGCCGTTCCCACCGAAGGCTTGGAGAAAAACGCAGGACGAGTAGAAACTGTGAGACTCGCCTCCCCCACAGTGAAGACTGGGCACAGCAGCAAGCTTTCGAGAGATCAGTTGGGGAGATACAGCACAAGGTAATGCAGAACCAGCAGTTTGCATATACAGTATGTGTGTGTGCGTGTGCATGTGTATATGCATATACATACATACAGTATTTCCTGTGGATCTTTTACCGAATTTTACACTTATGGTTCCGATACCTTTAAAGTACTTTGAAGTTTTTATTGACATTGTGAAAACTTGATAGTATGCAATACTATCAAAGGTTACTGCCCTGTCAGGTTACTGCTTGCAATTTGTCTAAGTCATTTAGAAGTAGTAAGATGTAATAATTATTTATCTGATCCACAGTCTGCGCTTGATCGAAAATTCTTATAAATGTAACTTACCACAGCATGATTTAACAATATTCATTCAGCATGAATAGGGAAACTGGACATTTGATAAATGATCATTAACTGGAGGTTTGTGGGTTATTAACACATTAATTACATTATGCTAACACGTGTTGCAAATAGACCTTACAGAGCCAATAACTGTAAGCATTTCTTTATAAGGTGTCCATATACGGGGCATGGACAATGCAAGAAGAGTCACCTGAAATATATGAAAAACCAAATAACAACTACAAAGCCCCTAAGAATGGCCTTCAAAAGATAGCAGTGCTTAAAATTGTGTTTTTTGCGGGTAAACGATGCGATGCAGTGCATAGTTTGCTGCATGTCTTTGGCTTGGACTTCCTGGACTGCCGATGAACTCTGCCTTCAGGACACTGGAAACAGTGGAAACAGGAGATGGAGAATGGGAGGGTTGCTGTGTGCAGCCTACACAGGATCTGTGACGAACATCCGCTATTTATTTGCATACTGTATATTTCAGCAGCGTTCAATAGGCTGCCCCTGGATCTTACGTCATGAATGTCAGTAAACCTATCCGTAAAGTTCTAGTTAAGGGTGGGATTTCAACTTGCAGCCCTGGTAGCTTAAAAGTATAATTGACTGAGCCTCTCAAAGTCATTATGTCAAAAGACGAAATGCTAAATCACCAATAAAAAACAGCAGTTCACTGTCAGTATTCTGAAGGTGTGTAGGCGTTCCATGGATTTTGCTGGGTGTGACTCACACTGATGTAGAGCTACAGTACAGAGGAATGACAGATATCAACCAAAAAGCAGAGGGATTCATGATTTACTTCTGTGATGAAAACTAGACTGACATGTCCTCACAGCAGATGCTGTCTAACCACTAGGCTAAACGAAGACCCTTCCTACCAATATGACTATGAATTTGTGTGCAGATGGATAGATAAACAGAGAGATGTGTGTGTGTATACATACATGCATACACATATATGTATGCAAGTATGTATATATATATATATATATATATATATATATATAATATTATATATATATATATATAGATATCAAAAATATCACATGGATTGTGGTTGTATTGCAGTCGTGTGATATTCATTTGGATGTTGCATGCTTTTTTTTTCCTCGAATGAATGAGAACATTGAATCCAAAACACAAAACGAGATNAGAGAGAGAGAGAGAGAGAGAGAGAGAGAGAGAGAGGGAGATAAGTTCTTAACTTGCAATTCAGGTGAACAACTGAAAATGTATGCATGCCTTCATGGACCACATTAAGGAGGAAGCGATAAGGATTGTACACGAATTGTATGCCGAAGCAGGAAACAAAAAGGAGGAGGGGTTTAGGGGCCGGATAGCCGGGTGACATCAGCCTCGAAAAATGTGTGTGTGGCTCGATGAAGCACCGGAATCAGACGGTGTGTGTGACTGGGAAAGAAAACTGCGAGGAAAGGGGAAAAGGCGTTCCCGTTCTCAGACCGGCGATCCTGTGCACAGACTGAGCGGACGTTCAGAACCGCACAACACAGGACGACACGCCTGCCTGTAAAATGATAATAATAATAATAACCTTTATATAAAACAGTCAGAACTGTATCAAGTGAAACGTAGCAAATACATTTTATGAACCCAATAGCCCAGCGAATCGGACGGGGTTACCCGCATACTGAGCCCTTTTGACACCAATATACAAGGAAAAGACATTGACTGGACAGACGGCAGAGAGACAGACGGGGACACTTTCGATCTCTTTTTTGTCCAGAGCATCTCTCAGCGATCGGCTGATTCTATCACTCCCAAAGTAAGTATTTTATATCTCTCTCTACTTCAAACTGTTTTGGTAGCAGGCTTAAATTAGTTGGCTGTAGTTTTTTTTCTAATCTGGGTAAAGATGCACCGATTCTGGGAGTCGTGCATTCCGTTACACTCACTGTCGCCTGCGATTTGCTACCTAACGAGAATGGACGTGCGTGCAGCCAAACTGTAAAATACTACGGCATTCTGTTTTTATTAAAAATCGGATTCATCGTGCATGGTGACGCGCACTTTATTTAATTTAATTTGACACTTTGGACCTAATATTTCATCTGAATCAGACGTGAAAATTGGCATATGATAAGTACGAAATATAAAAAAAAACATGAAATATGCTGTTACGTTGCGAGTACTATAGCCGATTATGTCCAGATTATTGTCATGATGTGCGTCTGTCACACATAAGATTAAGCCTTCACACTTGTCTTTCGTGGCTTTTGGAAAGCAATCAGTCATATGGTTAGAGACAACGCGCTTCCTCTTTTCTTCATCGATGAATCCGCACCTGAAGCCACACAGCCGTCATACTGAAACCTGACAAGCCTGCAGCCTGTGCCAAGACGTACCTCGGGGAAATGAAGGGAGGAGGGAGGCCTGTGGATCCTGCCCTCCTCACCATTCATTCAAAAGAAAAACAATACATTGGCGTTTCATGCCCCACCACTCTCCAGTCATTACCAAAGGCTGCAGAGCAGTTGTGCTAGAACATTCCACTGGCATCCTGCATTTTAATTTCTCTGGCTGTGTTTCATGCTGCTATCCAGCTGTGAAGAAACAAAGGTACAAGACTAAGGGATTCGCCATCTTATAGAATCCCCAGTGTGGTTCGACTCGCACCAGGTTCAAGTGGACCTCTGTAACTTGTGGCTGGCAGAACAACCAAGTCAAGTTTTTAGTGCCCTAGTATGTAAAAGTTGTCGTTTGAAACATTTTAAAAAGATGTATTTTTATATGTACACACCATACATATGGTGTCAAACATTAAGGAACTGAAAACGTGAAGCAACACATTTTCATATTTTTATTTAGAAGTTAATTTTCAGCAAAGCCTATGTATTGTTCTTCTCCCCTCTTTTGTTTCTCTGTAGTGCACATTTAAGCTGTGAGTTGGCCGTCTCTAGTTAGTTAGAATGAGACATGTTCTACTACAGTTATAATTATTTTATTGATGTTTTTTTTCTTCCCATTGAGAAAACCCGGCCAGCTGAGCAACAATGTGTTTCCTTCGGCCACTTCCTGTGTCTGTCGTTCTCTGGGAATACTTGTGGTCGAGATGAAATGCTGCTTTCTGCCGGTTTACTGAAACCGCCCCAATGTGGCCAGGCTGTGCCACAGAACATTTATTTTTATTAAACACCTGCAGGCAATGATTAGGTCTATCCCCAAAATAGCACAAAGCTATTTTTATCTGTCAGGAGACTTTTAACGTGACAGAGGTTTCGCCTCGTTTTTTTTTCTGAGTCATTTTGTGGGCTGGGGAGGGGCGGGGGATTGGAGGTGAAGTGCTTGATGGTTTTTTAATTGCTAGCACTGCCTAATTATGAATAGCGTTTTAAGTATCATGAAACGTATTAGTGCTTTTACACCCAAGTTATCTGTCAATGCAGAAAATGTGCATATTTAATGTTGTTCTGGGGAAAAGGCATCCGCTAACTGAACCTAAATGAAAAGTCTCACTGGGGCTCATTTGATTTAATGCAATCTGATCGGGTTGAGCCTCAGCACTGGGAGGATAATTGGCTTGATTGACAGGGTGGGGACAGGCTGTTGGGGGGCACGCTGTCTTTCTCTCAGGCCCTGCTTATGCTGTCAGAAGGCCTGCTTGCAAACTCACTGCAGTTTCGATATCAGTGCGAGGGTTCGCCCTCTCTTGCTTCAGGGACCGAAGGAGCTGGATACTTCAGGGGGACTAGGAGGAAACCATTCTGGAACACGTTCATTTAGGCGTTAGTATGAGCGGCATGTTATGCTGTGCGTGATGCACTTCGCCTGTGAGTCACACACCTCCCATGATGCTTTGCCCATACGTTAAGCATGCCTGCACCATGCTACTCAGCCCGAGGGCCAAGTAAGAGAGTATCGCTGTGGTTACCACTGGCGCCGATCCATCAGTGTTGATGATTATGGCTGCCACAGCTATTAGCAGAGGCTCACAGAGCTGGTATCAATTGTCCACACTGGAGTAGTTCACTGTACATCCAGTTTCAGTTCCCTTTGTAGAGCTGCTTAGAGGAGCAGAACGCAAACAGAAAATGAAGGCATTTACAGAGAGCCCTTGCCATTTACCAGTAATGTAACCTTTTCTGTTTCTATAAATACTAAATGTACCACCTTCTCACAATGTGTCGTATACATGAAACTCAAACCCTGCACTTGGTACGGACCACGGTACATATATGAAGCAGGGATGACCCAGAGCCACAACTCCTTCCAGTCGGTCGTGCCTAGCACAGTGCTCCTTTCCTAGTTTGTTGCCAACTTACAGGTCAGTTCTGCAGGCCTCCTGGACCAAGGTTTGAGCACAAAAACTCAGAAGAGGAAGAGAAAAGTGAGAAAAGTTCCAGACTCAAGTTTATTTGATTGATGGGCATTGTCTCTACCCTTATTTTTGACCCATACCAACAACATTTACTGAGAAGCATAGTCAAGACCTGTATACCTATATCTCCCATTGTTCCCGTGATGCACCAGTTCAAAAACCAACACCCAGCTGAGTGTGAGCCTCTTTTTTTGGGCTCCAGCTGGTGCACACCTGAAGTGTTAAGACTGCTATCATAGTACCACAGTCACTGGCTGGACGTCAGTGCTACTGTACAGCGATGTCACAGCAATGTGGTCATTGCACGGTCCAGGTTGGAGGTCTGTAATTTTGACATTGCTATTTGTTAATAGGCGGCGATAGACTATCAGGCTATTGCTTACTCAAGCGTCTGTACTGAGCTCCCAAAAATGTAATTATTTGTGTCCCACCCCCTTGTCTTTCCTGAGTAAAATGGTCAGTGAAAGGTGACTCAGCACTGGCAATTGTCCACACTGGATGTGGTTCAGTACTGGAATAAAGAAGGTGACATATGTGCTGGACTCACAATTGAGATGACAGCAGCTTCAGCATGGACACAGGGTTAATGGTAGGCATTAAGCATGTGCAGTCAGGCGTGCCGCGCTCATTCCAGGTCTGTTCCCCTGGCATACATGCGCACCCCTCCCATCCTGCATGCTGGGAATACGCTGGCATTGCTCAGCCATCCAGAGAGGATCACCTTCAAAATGCAATTCATCAAACAACTCACACCCCAACTTAACAGAATTTTTTTGTACACATCTGTGTGTGCACTTACTGCAAAGATTTATCTACAGAAGCCTTAGAGTCACTCTGCTACATACTTTAGATTCTCCAGGGTAGGCCATGAGCCATCGTCGAAGCGTTAGTTGAAGACGGATCCTGGCGTGCACGATGGAAACTGATAACGGCTGTGAAAGACAGAGAGGAAAACGGGACAGCAACAGGAAATTGGAAAAAAATTTGGGGGGGGGGAGAGGAAGAGTAGGACAAGTGGGAGGAAGAAGATGCGAGATACTGCGAAGGAGCCAATAGGAAAGAAATTATATGCAAAAATAGAGAATGTGGATCATATTCTTAAGGTATTACTCCTAAAAGACTATGTAAAGATTTGTGTAATCTATGGATTCAGATCTTCATGAAACCATGCAGCATAGATCGCTCCAAGTTTTAAAGCAAGTTTCTATTCATCTGCCATACACAATGCTGTTTTTGATCCTGCGGTCACACATGCAAGAGTAACATTCTTCACAAGCCTGCTTATAAGGTTAATACTCTTATACAGTAATAGGGGCTTCGTTCAGCAGCAGCAACGGGCAAACAAGGCTGAAGTTTTATTCTGTACTGACATTTTAGCTCAATGTTGAAAATCCATTTAGTACTGCTGTTAGTTATCTATGGGGGCCATGTGAGCAAGTGTGTATTTGTGTGATTGTGTGTGACCCCTACTATACTTATATTCATATTTTACATACAGTATGTGTTTATGATGACATGAAGATGCAAGATTGTGTGCCTGTGATCCTAAGAGAAAGTTCATGGCTCTGTGCACACTGTCCAGGGTAGTGTGCATACATCTGATGTTGTGCTGGATGATATTTGGGTGTGGGTGTGTGTGTGTGTGTGTGTGTGTGTGTATTTCTTCACACTCCATCCTGCTCTCACTCCTCCTGCTTTCTTTCTCTCACCCCGGCTCCATTTCCTTTGCCTCCTTAACTGTCATTCTTTCATCTTAAAGACAAATCTGGATCTCCTTAATTAATACTGCTGCACAAAACATGCTCACATTACTGTTATCTGTGTGTTTGCATGTATAGTTTTTGTGCTCTACATCTGGATTTTTATGTCTTTGCATCTTTACTTAAATGTGTGCATGTGACTGTATTTCTCTGTAGACGAATAAAGCTGATCCACAAAATTACAATTCTGCTACCAAAGACGTGTAGCCCTCATTCAAGATTGTGAAATTGAAGTCTCCTAGCAACCAGGCCCTACTATCAATAGCCAGTCTTTTGGTCTAAAATCACGACTGCCTGGCATGTATTCACTCATAGCAGGGGGAACAGAGGTGTTCTAGATTTAAGTGAATGAGAGTGTAGAAGGCTTTTGTGAAAGTGGGAAAACAAATCTGTATTTAACATGGTGCACCACACACATAAACACACATACAATCTCAGTGTTCATAATGCCACTAATGCAATGCATTTAATTATTCAGCACCAACTGTTTCTGAATAAAACACATACTGGCAAACAGCCTTCACATAATTGTTAAATATATGACTGGTTTAACATCGGAATCTTCCAGTAGATGCACAAGAGAATAAGTGCATTAAAATATGTGGAGGTAAGCTTTGGTCAATACAGGCCTCCGTGGTTCGCTTTGATCAGATGAGTAATGTACTCTACTGTTATGATATGAGTTTG